CTGGCCTCTCCAAGTGACCTTGAATCTCAATCTGTGCACTATTCTCTTCTCCCTTCTCTCGCCATCATCCAGGGCTCTGTTCCTTGCTCCAAAAAAGGTGATCACACCTGCCTTAGACTTGGCTATACTAGTGAGACGAGGTCATCCATAGTTCATCATCACCACCTCGCTGTTGTACAGCTCTCCTAGCAAGGTCTATTCCCGCGCATCCTGAGAGACATCTATAGCCATGTTCCTGAACTTCATTAACTCAGGGTTCTTCTCTAGAAAAAACACGAGTCCAGAGAAGCCATAGCTGTACTTTGACCTGTCCAATAACTCATATTTCTTCCATAAGGCACTTATTTTGGTGAGGGGCAGGATGCATGGCGCCCAACTACACAAACACAGTAAGTGGCCCAGAGCCACTGCATTGTTTTCAATTTTACTTTAAAAAAAAATCTCCTGTTCTGTCTACTACAAAAATGGCAAACAGGAGATGTTGATGGCCAGAGCAATTACTTTTTATGGAGACAAGATATGCATAAACCAAACACAGCGGCTTTTTCCATCTTGTGTCTGCCTACAAACTTCCCTTAAGAGAGGAATGCTGCTTTTCCTAAAATACTCAATCCGGGTAACTCAGTAGAACCACAGTCTAAACTGTTTTTCTCAGACAATAATTCTATTTCAACAGATCAGTACCACGTGGTAGCCACCAACCACATAAGCCTGCTAGGCACCTGAAATGTGACTGTATGAACTGAGATGTGCTGTAAGTTTATAACAAAATCTGGCTTTTGAAGACTTAGTATGAAAAAAATAAAGTAACTCATTTGTAATTTTTAAACATTTGATTACATGTAGAAATGATAATATTTGGCTGTAGTGTGCTAAGTAAATATATTATTAAAATTAATTTTACCTATTTCCTTTTACTTTTTAATGTGGCGACTAGAAAATTTAATAGAGCCTTTACAATACAAAAGCAACTCTAATTTTCTTCATGGCTTTACTTATAGAAGACTTTACAGTAATAATAAAAATCAGCATTTTTATAAGTTTAAATTAAGTTGTTTCAAGAACTATTTTTTTACCAAAGCAAGCATTATATATTAATATGGATTCACCTGGATAAAATTAAAAAGAACACTATATCCATACACTGTTGAACCATGTTTAATCACTCTCAAAAGATACCTCTTGAATTAGGCTTGCAAATTTGAAACAGTAAATAAAGCATATTTTCCCAAAGACCTTATGCCTGAATTTCATACCCGACTTAAAAGACATGTGATCACCTAAGGAACAAGCACAGGATACTGGGCAGAATAAAAAAACCATATACACAATACACAAACTCCTATGGTATTACCTGATAGATATCAGATAAACTGCTGCTCCCAGAGTCACTAGCGATGCTACAACCAGACTGACTAGAAGACACATGAGGCACCTGTGGATGAGGGCTGTCTGTGATGTGCATCTTTGTAAGATCCGCTGGAAGCTGAAGAAGAAAAATAATTAAGATATTCTAAATATCAATCATTACCTTTATAAGAGTTTTGACACAATGTAACTTCTGCAACAAACTTTTGTTTTACATACGTTACTGTGCAACCTCTTTACTAACCTAAAGTCTCTGTTCTTAGGAAAACGCTAAGGAATTTAGAAGAACCAAATAAGTACTCTGACCCTCTTAAGCAAGCCCAATGAACAGTTTTCCAAAGAGATTACCATTAGTAATGGTATTTCAGAGGAAAACTTGGCTCCTATTCTTCCCCAAAGAAACTATCAGCTATTTCCACTGTAAAGGGTAGGAATGTTATTACCCATTAACACACATAAATGTGTGCACAAACGCCACTGATATAAAATGGTCACTAATACCAGAATAAATCAACAATATCTTGGATTAAAGTACAGCATCTGGTGGCAAGACTTAAGAAAAGGAACAACTGGGGCCGGCCAAGTGGCGCGTT